ATTAAAGTTTTTAATTAAATTATTCCTACGAAAATTGTAAGTTTGATAAAGGTTGTTACAATTCTACGTTGAAAACTATATTATAATCATTTTCATTAATTAATTAATTAATTAATTACCATTTCAAGAAAATATTTGGAATACCTAAATAAAATAATGAAAATACTGAACTGAGAAAAGAATTTACAAGGCAAGGTTAAATGTGGACTTAATTAGCGGCAAAAAGACACAATCACAATGTTTGAGACATTGGTAAACATTAATAAAAATCCTTGACCAATTAAAAGTAACAAATGAGCAGAATAAAACAAATTATTAAATGTAATAATACGGATAGTAGTAATAAAAGCAAAGTTTATGTACGTTTACTTTAAAATAGTTACATTTTCATGAACATAAAACGTTTCTTCTTTTACAAATTGATAATTTAGATATTTATGGGTTTCTGCAGTGCTCATTTCATTGCAATAAAACACCCACAGAAGTTCTAAATATTCACTTTCTAGCACTCTAGAAAAAAGTAGGAAACAAAACTGGTAGCTAAAAATATTTTTTTAGAACAATATTTAAAAGTTTTTCGATTATAATAAAATTTTAGATCTATCTAATTCAAACGTCAGAAAAACATTTTTGAAACATTGCAACGTCAGTAAAATTTTAGCATTTTGCATAGGATTTATTCCTTTCAAAATTTTGATGAAAAGCATTGTTTTTAAGTAAAATGTAGAAAACCAAACGTATTCTTAATTAAACCGTTTTTAAAAATGTAAATTGTAAGCCGAGATGTAACATAAAAAACATTCAAGAAATTAAAACATTGTTTCAATTGGGGAATTTTTTATACTATGAAGTATCTACTCACAATTTTTTTCAAATTAATTGCGTTTCTACGTTTTATGCATTTTTTGGTTTAGGAGGCAAACACCATCATTTTAAAATTTCCGAGAAAAAACAAAAAAAATAGGTTTTTTCAGTTTTTGTCAAAATTTTAGCACATCATCAGCTTTGTGTTTCTTATCGTTGGAAAGCACATTACATTTCCTATCTTATATAAAAAAAATTGTTCTGTGATAATTATTGAGAAAATCACTAGTTAAAATAAAATTACCTAGACAAAATTTATACTCGACTACAACATACAACTATTAGGAATTTTGCGGTTTTCCTGAGAAATATCAATCGAGTCCCCAGAACATTTTACATTTTTCAAAACATTTTTCCGAGGGACAATTCCGCCGCAATTAATAAATAAAGAAAAGTAAAATTTGTTGAACACTGGGGTACAAAATAGGCATTTTTAAAAATGTCATAAATTCGGTTTAAACCTATTTTTTCTTATAGATTTTGAGCCACTAATTACGGATCTGGCAAGTTTTTTGTTCTAGCTCCTTTAGTTTCTCTGTAATCGGCAGTTAAATAGTAAAAATTGTCGAATTTGTAAAATTTTACATTCGCTTTTCTCAGAGACTATAAATCAATTAAATTAAATAAATTATCTATATAGAGGCTTGCTAAAAAGTAGGGATATAGCTAAATATTTTCAGAACGGTTTAGCAGAGTATACGTTGAAATTTGGGAAACATATTATTTATTTTTTGGTTAAAGTTCAAGCGACAAAGAGATAAGGGTAGACAAAAACAACATTTCTAAGACTAAAAAAAATACATTTTTCAAAATTTAATTGGTTCGATTTTTTTTTGAAAATTAGGTATACATGTGTTACATCATAGAACTCAGAAAAAAATACTTTGTTTAAAAATATTAAATTTGAACCTTCTTGCCATTAAAAAAAATCAAGTTAGTCTTGTATCACCAGGACAAATGGAGAGAGAAGTTTGATAAACATCTGAGACAATGGAATTTAAATACTTTTAAGCATATACCAAATTTTAATAAGTTTTAATGAATAGTTTTTATGTATCCATAGTTTTTAGCGACCCTGTATAATGGTGCAAACTCGGAGTAGCTCCGGGTACATAAATATACTTAGTTTTTTTTTATAAAATCATTTGAAAACTAGGTAAAAACGGTATTTTTACGAGAAATTTTCATATATAATTGTAATTTTCATCATATAATAAGATTTTAAAAAATTGCTTTTCTTTGGTTACAATAATGAAAATTACTAGACACATGACACACAAATAACTATTTTGCTTTTCTACAACATTTTATACATTTTTCTGAGTCGTTTGGACTATTTAGAGTCATTTGGAGCAATTTTTCGAGAAAAATTAAGGTACAACAGGCATTTTGTTTCCAGTTTCAGGGCTGGTAATAGAAACTCTAAATGTTAAAAAAATAATAAGAAAATTTAACATCTAATATTTTTTTTTATTATTTCTTTTTATTTACCTCAATATTCAATTAATTTTTCATTTTATTAGCTTGTTTATTGTAAACTTGAAATTAAGTAATCAAAATCTCATGAGAGTGAACTAATCATTGTTATTTTCCTTTACCATCATAGACAGAAGAAAATCAACAAAATAAATAAATAATAGCACAATGTCCTCACGCAAACCTGGACAAAATAACAGAGCAATTTTGCGACCTTCCTTAGTTGGAAAAATAGTGTAAAAATAATGTAAAATTGAAGCAAAAGAATCGAATCGATAGATAAAATTTTCCAGAAACTGTCATTCACCTGTCACGCAATTAAAAACAGTTCTTCTTCCAATTCCATTAACAAATCAATAATGGACAAATTAGACACATTAACATTGTTTATACTGAGGCTCGCGTTTATCGGCTCAATTTGTCCGAAAATTGGCAACGTGGGAACAACAATAATTTTGCAAATCCTGAAAATATTAATAGAATCAGCGAAGCGAACGGTCAAAAACAGGAATAGTTGCAAATAGGTCAAGGATGGGAGGAATCATTTGAAGTCCCTCATGCAGGACAATCGACAGGTTTTCCCTTTGGGTGCGATGGGTTCATTGGAGCGCGTGGCGTGGGTCAAGCCGATGGTCATCCCAGACATAACTTGTTCTTGTTGTTCTTCAGAGCTTTGGTTCAAGTGTTGCAGTGGGCGAGTGGGGGGAGCGCCTCAACACTGCCTCCTCACAAACTCAGCAGCTTATTTGAGATTTATTAGTTTTGTACTGCTTCGATTCGGAGTGCACACCTGTTGTGGGATTTGTGGGATTTTGCATTTTTTTATAAGGTGAGGGTTTAATGGGGTGATGGGTCGAGCTTGATTGGAGGGATTTGAGTGAGGGCCAAATGTGGGAATTTTGGAGTCGGAGGAGGTTTTCAGTAAGTTACGAAGCTTTGAGTTTTGGGCAATTTAAAAAAAAAATAAGAATTTAAGTCTCATTTTGACACAATTAAAAAACAACTTTTTAATCGATCTAAAACAGAATAAAATATTTTTATCAAATTATTTTGGACAACATTCATTTTGTTTTCCACTTTTTTTTTCTTTATTTTAATGTTTTGTTTTTCGCAATTTTATGTTTTTATAAGCTTTTTTAAGTTTACTATTTTTTTAATTAAATTTTTGAAAAATGTTTTGATAATTTATTAAACATTCTCTAGAATTATACCAGTTGAATAAAAAGTATGAAACCAAACGTTTTTGCTTAAACTATTTACTTTTTGAAAAAAATATTTAATAAATGATAAATTACTATAACAATGTGATGTTTTTTATTTTTTTAAATGGCAACCCACTATAAAACTATTTTCCTCATAAAAGTTATGATCTAAGAATTACAACTATGTACTTTATATTTAATTTTTTCAAAAATTTGCGATTTTGACAAAAAAATTCGCATAACTCAAAAACAAAACAAACTTTCATTCTCAAAATACAACCACATTTTTTATATTACTTTAATTTATATTGTTTATTATTTTCTAAAAGCAAGTGATTAAAAAAACCGCTTGGTTCCATACTTTGTTCTCACTCTGTATATTTATCCAGAACTAATAATATTTTCTTAGTAAAATTTTGATATAATTGTAAAATTTTTAGTCATCAAATCGGTTTTCAATTTCAGGAAAAGCTTTAAACTTCTAAGCTAATCTTAAAAAAAATAAGACAATTTTTATTTTCAATTTTTTTTTTAATTCAAAATTCTATGTTTATGGAACCCTAAAATCTGAGCTTTTAAGAGGGAAATCTATTTAGTTTTCACTTTTGAATTCCGATTTTAATAGTTTTAATCGAGACCTTAATTCTGAATTGTGAATTTTAATAGGAAACTGTAGAAAGTTAAACCCGAAATTTTGGTTTAATTAGAATTTCGACGTTAAATAATCAAACAGGCAGAAAAATTTTGCTTTTGAATCTTAAAGCACGTTACACAATTACAGTTCGTCTTTAACAAACACAAGAATTGATTTTTTACTTTAAAGTCTTAATTATGAATGATGTATATTAATTATGAAAAAAGTTAAACCTGAAATTCTGGTTTTATTGGAATTTTGAGATTTAATACAAATTTCAGGCAGAATAACTTTACTTTTAAATATTA